AACAAAGTCACCGTGCAAGCTTTTAGCAAGCATTCCTCCCTTGTGTTGTGTCAGGAGACAAAAAATCTCAGCCTTAAAATATGAGGGGTGCAACAGATGTCAGGTGGACTTGCATTTTTTGGGGTGAGCAACCCATGGAGAGCCTCTGCATCAATGCTGTAGTTAGCGGCATTTCAGTATTTATTCCCAGTCAGCTGTATGAGCAGGGAGTTAAAGCAGACTTGTTAGTAATTTATGGTGAAATTAAGAGAGACATCGTTGTTCTCTGAAATGATTTAAATCACTGCCCAGTTTTGATGCATCATAATAGTGCAGTTGCTCTTAACAGCACCTCTTGATCAGTGGGACTTGTGTTCTGCTCATGGCTGAGAACTCAGCCTCTCGTTTCATGAAGATGGTGAAAAGCTTCAAGCGCAAGGTTTGGGTCACCCAGTAACTTGCTAAGGTACTTGCTTAACTGCAGGATGGGCAGGCTGGGACCTAAAAGGTAGTATTCAAGTTGCATGTTGGAAAGTCATGGCTGAGGCTACCTGCCACCGAAGTTGTAAGTAAAGCGAGGTGACAGCGTGATGGAACGCAGTTTGCTTGTATCTAGATTTAAATGTTGAACTGGTAGGCATTGTGAGATCAGTTGTCAGTTACAATTTGTGATTGTGTCATAAAAGCTAATCTGAACGTAAAGGTGACATTGCTCAGTGTTTAAATGCCCTCAGATTAAGTGGAGAAAGGGAGAAGGGGCTCTTTCTTGTATAAAGCAGAGCACGTTTTTGTGTGAATAATCCTGGCTGATTTCTTCCTGCTCTGGGGAGCCCTGTTCTGTGAACACCAGGCACTGGGAGTTGTGGATGTAGAGATTGCGGGGGGTTGCTGGACAGCAGAGGAAAGCTATTAAGCACACTCAAATTTGCTTCCACCCTGAACTGTTTATTTTGTGTAATTTAAATGCCAAGATTATCATTCCAGGATTAACAAAATCCCTCAGATCTCTGAAAACACATATTACAAGTTGACTAAATTCACCTCTTAGGGAAAGGGTGAGGACCACGAAACGTGGATCGTCCGTCTCGAAAAAGAGTGCCTTGAAGAAAAAAATTGGAGTGACATAGATAAAACCTAAGGTGGTAAGAGGGCTGGGAAGTGTTGAGGCAGGAATGGAAGTCTTGATTTTAAAGCTCGGTTTATTTATATGCTGTGTTAGGTGGGTTAGTGCCAAAGATGTAAAAACAGGTGTTTTCTCAGCTTTATTCCACGGAGCGCAGCACTGCTTCCTTTCTCTTCTGCATTGTTCTCCAGTCTTAGAGTTGAAGTCGACTCTACAGGGGACTCAGTCTAGAGTGTGTAGGCCATGTACTCAATGAGGTCAGTAAAAAGGCTTTAATACCTGACTGTGGGAGCACTGTGGGAATTGCAAATGTGTTGATGTTTTGGCATGAGTGTAAATATACAACCCACCCTGCTGAGCATCCTTGTTAGTCTTAGAACTCTGATTTGAACTTGTAGTTTCAAATTGGATGGGTGGGAGCGGGTGAATTCTATACACATTTGGAAAGAAAAATGTTTTTCTCCTGATTGAACAGTAGGATCTTATTTTCAAATTTTAGCCCATTACACACAGTTTCCAGTTGAGAAGGCAGGATTTTTCACATGCAGTGCTTATTTTCTTTCTGCCTACCTCCCCTTTCTGGTCATTAATTGAGTATTCTGTCCTCAACCTAGGGAGTGGTGACGGATAGCAAATTAATTATGTGGGATTGGATTATGATTCAGAGCCGTATTTCTTGCACTACAGAGTCTATTTTGATGAGCATAAAAGTTCAGAAACGCCTAGTAAAGAATTTTTTACACCCTCTGGAGATGATTTTCAGCGTGTAAAGGAAAATAATGGCTGCATCAGCAGTTTTGTGGTGGTGGGCTAGTAATGCTAGTAGTGGAGTTGTAAGAAACACGAGCTAGAGTCAACCTCTGGCTGTCCATACTTCTTTTGGATGGGTAGGAGTGACACAGAACTGCTCTCCATCCTCGAGCTTAGCCTTTCTGAGCCCTACTGAAGACATGGGGCCTCTGTGCTCTTAAAGGTGACTTTACCAAAATCCGTTTTTGAAGGCAGTGTTTTTGTCACGGTGTTAACATTGCTGCTGTTTTGGTACTTTGTATTTTGGTGAAAGTATTTTTAAGCAGAAAATAGCCTGTAATGGATAGATGAATTCACAGAGGTGGTCGTGGGCTAGTAACGTACCAATAATGTAAACAGATTGCATCCTTAATGCCACAAGAGATAAGGACTTCTGTGCATGTCCAGCAGTATGTGAAGCTGAAGTGATGGTTTGGTGCACGTGCTGGGGGGCAAAATAAAAAAAAAAAAAGAGATTGGATTAAAAAAACAAAAACAGAAAAGGAGAAAAGTGAAGACTTGAAACCTGTATCTCTGATCATTAACACCCTACGGAGATCCGTGTGAAACAACCTGTAACAGTTAACTAAAGGAAAGGTAAACAGTTTTAATGAAATTGAGCTGAGTATTAAATTTGAGATACCGCGCACACAAGAGTACTAGAAAGATTACACAGTTGAAGGTGTTAGCAGAATAGGTAAAAAGCAAAGTCAGCCTAATGAACCGAAGTCCAAATAACCCAAATGAAGTGGGTGACAAAGATAATAACTCGAGTGCTTAGGAAGTAATCTGTACGTGGTTGGAAACAACAGTGAAACGTGATACTGACGTGCACTGATGATACTAGAAAGCACTGAAGCCTTTGGCTCATCATTTGCCAGTGTGTCAGATGAAACTCATAATTGCTGCTGTCTTTGGGGCTTAGCTTTGTGTTGGGGTGGCAAGGAGAAGCTGCTTGGTATACAGCTGTATCCGTTTAGCTCTGTGATGTTTGTGTGTGTCAAGATTTTTACGTAAGGATGGTCGGTTTACGAGCGAGGCAGCTAAAAGTTGAAAACTTTTTTCACTTATTTAGAATTTAAAACCATTTATTCTCATATGCCATAGTATTCCTGGTTTGTGGCATTTTTAACCTTAATTAGGTGTTTAGATTGTAGCTCCTGAAAAATTAGATCTAATAAACAATAAATGCATATTTTTAGTGACTAAAGGTTTGGTGGTCATTGTAAGTGCTTATCTTCAATTCTCTGTTAGAAATGATGATTTCCTTTTAAAATGAGTGAGAGTTGATATGACGGATGTCTCCTTGAGATCTGATTACTTGTGGACTACCATTCAAATATTGTTTGGACCACTTTCAGCATATTTAGTGTTATAAAAGGTGATATCAGCAGTTGTCTTGATAGCTACTGATACGCGTTTTGAAGTCAAGAGATGTTGTTTTGTCAATCTTCAGTTTGGTGGTAAAAATTCTATGGTTGTTTGTGTATCATTTTGGAAAGTATCTTTTTGCTTCAGAGCATTAGTGCCATCTTCATAGAGTCTTTGTTGGCTAGTGTAGACATGGGATTCGAAATTGTTTTCGGTGGTGATGTAGGTACACCTTAATATAGCAAGCCAGATTAGATAGGACTGCATCCCACCGCTTGGCTTTGTGGTATGATGTAAAGGAGCAACGAGGGATCAGGTAAATGAATGCGCTGTTTCTGTTGGAGGCACGAAAATTTTCAGTACCTGTGTGCTACTTTTATTTTATTAAGCTGTCATGTGTCTTCCGTCTTCATTCAGACATAATGGGAAGATGGTTAAACCAGAGCAATGACACTTGTACAATCTTGGTGATTGTTAACCTATTTCCTGTAGCTAACGAGACGTGATTACTGCACCGTTCTGCCCTGCAGTTGTCATGCTGTCTATTTTTGCCAATCTTTTCAGCTGACCTCCAGGTACTGCTGTTGGAAAGTTAAATGCTGTGTTTACGTAAGTTGCTGGCATTCTGCGGGAGCACTTAAATTAAGATGTTGGGTTGAAGGCTCCTACCCACCTTAGAGAAAACAAAGTGAGGGTGGAAGTTGTTTCAGCTTGTTCTTTGGCAGGAGCTTGTTTCTCTGCACTTATGATGTGGGAGATTGCAGGGGTAGTGGGGGACTGCACTACTTCATTTGTGCAAAAGCTGACCCTAGTTCGGTACTGTTCGAAGGAGACTTTCTGGCTGCCGCAAAGCAGTCTTCTGTTCAGGGTTTTGACTTTGCTGGAAAGAGGTGACAGAACCACATAGGTGCGACCATAAAACCTTCACTAGAATATTCATGTGGAATAGTGATGAACTGAGAGTGTCTAGAGAGTGTGTGGTACTAGTAATGAATTACTTTGAAACGTTAATATCCCATACTTGAGCAAGGCTTGCATGTGTATGACGCCTCCAGGTTTCTCTGACACGGTGTTTTTGAAATTCCTCCTCCCTTCTCTGAACTCAGGAAGATGCATTATGTTGGTAGGCAGTTTTTATTTGGACATCAGGAAGTACTACTTTTCAGAAAGGGTGGTCAGGCACTGGAATGGACTGCCCAGGGAGGTGGTGGAGTCACTGACCCTAGGGGTGTTCAAGGAAAGGCTGGATGCTGTGTTGAGGGACATGGTTTAGTGGGAGCTGTTGGGAATAGGTGAACGGTTGGACTGGATGAGCTTTTAGGCCTTTTCCAACCTTGGTGATTCTATGATTCTATTTTCCCCCTCTCTGCCCTAACCTGTGAGGTAATGTAGTTAGAGCTAAAGTAAGTACAGGAAAACAAACCTCTTGCAGGGAAATTGCAAATATCTGTATCCTCATTTTGCCATTGCAGATTTGCATTTGCCATCAAAGTGCATGTTGTGTCTCCTTGTCCACACAACTTTTCACATGTGCATGGCAGTTGGAAACAAGTGAAATTGTTATATTGATGGAAATCAAGAGAAGTTGTTAATAAGTTTCCCCTGATATTTTATATTTGGTTCAACTAAGAAACTGTCACACGACAGTCACCTTTCCAAGCGATTGTGTTTTGTGTGCCCAATTGTTCTCTGGTCTGTCATCCCACCTAACAGTGAAGTCTCTGATTCTGATTGCTAGAACCCCTTTGATTGCTGCGGGAGTTATTGGTGGCCTCTTCATCATCGTCATCATGGGCCTGACATTTGCTGTGTACGTTCGACGCAAGAGCATTAAAAAGAAGAGAGCGCTGCGGAGGTTCCTGGAGACTGAGGTGAGGGTGTAGGTAGTGGAGGAGGCAATCTAGGAAATGTTTTTAAGCATAACATTTGTTTTTCGTTCGTCACATACAGCAGGGGTGATTGCTACTGTCTCCCCGTTCCTTGACTTTGAAATGTGTTTGATTATGATGTTAAATCAGGGTTCCCCTCTGCAAGATAGATAATCAGTCTTATAAATATAGTTCCGTAGCGATACTTCAGTAAGGCTGTTTAAGAAGTGTTGTTTCCTGTTGTATTTTAAGGATCCTGCTCCCACTTAATTCCACTCTAGAGCTTGACAAAAGGGTTTATGCATCCCCAGTCTGTTTTCCTAAATACCTTTATGCCAGCTAGAATTTGTGTTGCTTGTTGAATACTGTTCAGGTTTATAGAAAGCTGAACTTAATGCTTCTAGGTATATTAACCTTGCCATCGTACCAGCCTCCACTTAAGCAGAAGTGATTTTAAGCACAAGCACTGGCTTTGGCAGCAGCTCCTGTTCTTCATTTGCTCAGATAAAAGCTGTGGCTGGTGGTATTTCTCCTGAGGGAATGAAGTCTTAATAGAAGTAGTAGTAGAAGGTCTTACTATGTGGGGAGGCTTGCCTGTGAAATGGAAGGTTAAATCAGGAGTTTCCTGAAATAAGCACACACAGCTTCAGCTCCCTTCTCTATTTCTAGCTGGAGGTTATAATAAACCGATCTTTCTCTTGGTCGTAGTAAAACTCTTCAAGCATATTTTTAAAGCCCACAATACTACTACTCCTAGCCATTCCTGTGCTGATGGCCTGCAAGTCATATATATACAGAAGCATGCTGGCTTTCTTTCAGAGGGAGCCTTCTTTCTTTGACTAAGTTAATACTGGACATCTAAACAGGAAGTGAGAAAGAGAATCCTTAAGTGCAGCTTGCGAGTAATTTCTAAGATAACCTTGTTGCTGTTTGGTTTCATGTTTTGGTACTCAAGTAATTTCCAACTATTGACATTCGTAACCGAACTAAAATAGTCTGGTCAGCTGGTAAGTAGTCCATGGTGCTCAAAGAGCCATAGCAGGAGTTCTGAAACCACAGAGCAGTTAGCCTTGTGAACAGACTACTCTGAAATACTGCAGGAGTGTGAATCCCATTTGAGCAGGAGTAGTCCTGAATTATTTCTCCCATCCTGTTAAAGGAGCACGCTGTTTTTCATTGTTTAGAGTATTGTCCTTTTCACGTGTTTTTTTTTTTTCACTTTATTTTTGAAGAACCCTTGCTTTTCTGGCAAACATGGTACAGTATTGATTTCTAAAGTCATTTTTAACAGAATGGTGGTTTGTGGTTTATTTATAAAGTTTCTTGGGACAAGGTTGCTTTTTTGAACAAATTACTTAATTGTGCTTTTTTTTTTTTTTTTTTCAGCAAATTAATGGCTGCTAAAAATTGTCTCCTTTAAGTTGCTTTCTCCTTAAATTTGTCCTCCTATATGGTACAGCAGAAGTTGAGAGGAACAGACCCTTCTCCAAAACAGAATAAGAATATGATGAGCCATTAAGTCAGGGTTATTTAAAAGAAATATGACTAATTTAAGAGGCACTAAAACGGGCAAAAATACAACGTGGTCCACTGATAATAAATGCTGTATTTCTGTCAGGCAGGAAATATTTATACTGCCTCTGTTAGCGGAAGTCCTTGGGTGCGTTACTGTGACACCAATTCAATTTCCAGTTTGTAGTTCCATCATGTAATTTCTGGTGGAAACGATTGCATTTTGAGTGAAGATTTTTTTCATGCTATTGCTCAGTTTCTCAGCGTTTGATTGTTTTCTTTAAAAGCAAGAGATTCCTCCACGAGTTGTTAGATCAGCACTCTTTACTGTCTTACTCCAGTGTTTGGCTGGATTGGTTGTTTCCAGTATAAACTGCTCGTGGATTTTCACACTTTCAAATACTAAACACTGTTGGACTTGACTTCGTAGCTTGTGGAACCCTTGACTCCAAGTGGTACGGCACCCAACCAAGCTCAGCTTCGCATCCTGAAGGAAACTGAGCTGAAACGAGTGAAGGTTCTTGGCTCTGGAGCCTTTGGAACTGTATACAAGGTAAGAGTCTTCTCTACAGCATTGATTAGCCTTGTTTAACCTGTGAACAGTAAGGTTCTGACCTCGTTGCTGGTGATACTCATTAGTGGAAGTTTTTCAGTAGTTTCAGGGAGTTCAACATCAGGTTATAGAAGAAAATAATCCATATTTAGTTTAATTTTGTGGGAATCAGTAGGTGGTGAAAAAATGTGCATCTTCGTGCTTACATCATTTCTTTTAAACGCAATTGTTGATGAGAAAACCAAGAAGATCTAAGGACACTTGCTGGCAAACAACCATCCACTTACATAAAGGTTTAGTTTTAATGTAAGAAATAGTTTAGTGAGACTTTTTTCTTTTTTTTTTTTTTTTTTGCTTTTAATAGCTTATTTTGTGTATTTTCAGTTTTGATGTTCGGGATTGAACTGCATAATGTGACAAAATACATCAAAAAGAATTAGAACAGTGAAATTTTTATGATTGTTGTCTTATTAGTCTTCTGTCACTTTGCTTTATATTTCTAGGGTATTTGGGTCCCCGAGGGAGAAACTGTGAAGATTCCTGTGGCCATTAAGATCCTTAATGAGACCACTGGTCCCAAAGCCAACGTCGAATTCATGGATGTAAGTCGTTTCGAGTCTTGGGGGGGGGATCTTCCTTGAGTCCACAGAGGTTGTAAAGAGTAATTCCTGCCAGTTGTTTTTCTTAAATAGCAGGAGGTTGTTTCACAGGAGCAGTACTGTACTGATGGTTAGCACATGTTACGACCTGATGGCCTATGCACAAAAGCAGCTGAGTTTTAGTAGGGACATGTCCTTCTGTTACTCCTAGACCAGCTATCTCTGTGTTAATGGATTCTATATGGTAGCAATACTTTAAAACAATAAGCACCAAACAGTAAACAGCTGGGGGTAGATCAGTGCTGCTTCTCTGAAGTAGAAGAGCTGGATTTAATCGGTGCAGGACAGTGCTTTGCCCTGGTCAGATAATAGTGTTGTGGAACCCTAAGCATGTGGTAACATCAGTGCCGAAACAGTGAAGGGCTGGGTGTTTCAACATGCAGATGCCATGAACCTCAAGATGTTTGGGTTTTGCTTGTACATCAGTGGAAGGCTCGTTACTTCTGTCTCATGTGCCAGCAGTTTTCCATTTTTATGACAGAGTATAGAGATGAGAGAAGGAATTTGCAGGGGAGCATCTTGCCACCTATGCAAGTTTTGCTTGTGTAGAACTCTCAGGAACAGAAACTTAACTCTCTTCTGCTTCAGTTTCTCTGAGAACTCAGCACTGAGTCTGGGAGCAGTCAGCAGCAGTAAAAACATAATAGGGAGGGGAAAAAAAAAAAATGCCCATTTTAAAAATTCCTTGGGCTTTGCTGGTCTAAAATACTGTTAATAAAAGGTCAAGATCATTTTTATGGATGTTCTGTGTTCTGTCTTTTGCTTTGTGTCAAGATTAAGCCTCATTGGCACTGAATGTTTGTGTCCAAATCAGAGGCAGTATTTTGACAAATAATAGCAATTTGCATTTTATTTGTAAAACTCTCCTGTGAACTTGAAAATTACATAGGACTTGTGAATTCTGGAGGTCTGTTCAGTGTACAGCCTTAATTTGATAAGCATTAATGGGACTATAAACCACAAGGAGACTGTACTCCCATTATATAATCTACTCCTACATCTAGAAATTAATAACAACGTGCAGTTACAGCTCTAGCTGTTTCAAGCAAATGATCACAGGTTCTCACCATGGAACTAAAGCTGTGTGTAGACCAAGGCGCTTCCTACGCTTTCTTCAGGAGTGCTGCGTGTGCATGTTTGTTGATGACATAAAATAATCATTGTGTACAAACACACAAAAAAAGGGCTCTGTTTGGATGAAATGAATTGTACTAAAGTGATGAAGAAGATGAGATGTTTGCTTAAAGGACAAAATAATGGTCCATGGCAAAGCTCCAGGAAGAGGAGATCTGGTGTTCAGTGATCCATCAAAGTGAATGGCCAGGGAGTGGAAGGCTGCTACGCCCAAACTGCACGTGTGCTGTTTGATGTCAACAGACAGTATGCAGATGCCTTTTTCAAGCAGATGGAATTGGTATTGCCGTATGGAAGTCACTGGAAGCGTGCAGTTTGCACCAGATGAAGAGCTGACCTTCTGATAGAGAAATAGTAGTAATCGCTCTTTCTGTGATAGTGATTAACCTTGAAGCACATCACAAAGAATGTGTAAGATCCTCCTTGAAAGACCAAGTTGGTTGTTTAGGGGTTTTGTAGCGCAGCGTCATCAGCTGACTTAATTCACTGGACTTCATTTTCCTCCAATGTCTGCATCTGATGAATGGCTCAGAAATGGAGACTTCCTTGGATACTGTAAAGATTTTAACTACGTAACAGGCAGCCGCACTAGGAGAGGTTTCTCTTCATACTAACATTGTCTCATGAGCCTCTGATCTACTAATAATCAGGTGGAGGAATGGCGTGGGTTGTTGTGAGTCCTAAAAGTCAGTAAAAACCCAAAGGTTACTTTTAATCTTAGCTAAAAAGAAGTAGACCCCATCATCAACTGATAGAGGTAACGGTGAGAAGGACTGACGTGCTTCCTATCTGTGCTGCCCTGGGATATGTGTGCAGCAGTCTGTAACGTTCCTTGCTGTACAGAATTGATGGGAGGGCAGACGATTTCCTTCTTTTGAAATAATTTTTCATGCAGAAGTACAAAAGCTCCTGCCATCCTTGCCTTCAAACTCAGCCATCTATTTCCTGAAAGAGCTGGCATTTTAATAGATAACTTTCATGTAAAAGAAGGGCCTGGAAATCAGTTATGGTTTTATGTGACCACTGCTTTCTGTCCCAGAAGGGATATAATTTTATACTGGTAAGCTATTATGGGGAGCTATTCTTCATTGGGAGATATCTAAGTGAAGTTGTAGTAGGAAGTCTTTTTATTCCTTGTCACTCTGAGACTTTGGTCAGTGTAACTCTGCTGGATGAAATGATCTATTGGCGTTATCTCATTAGGAGAATGCATGAGTACATGTGAGAGCACAATCCATTGGCTGTGCTTTGAGTAACAAGAGTGATGTGAATGGCCTTTGTCAAAAGCAGCTGTTTTAGTTTTTGTTTTTTTAAGTTGTATAGGAGCTAACTGCCATTGGGAGCATAATAAAGGATTATGCTCCATAAAGGACTTCAGTGGGATGTCTGACAATGCTTCAGTGGGAAGGGGACGTTAATGGGAAGGAGGTATCATGAGTTATCCACTTGACTTTGCTTTTTTTTTTTTTTTTTTTGAACTTGTTAAGTACAGGTGAGCTTTTGTTGGCAGTTTTTACTCAGTTGTGTGTCCTTGTACTTGCAAGTGAAGCTTAGCATTCCCTTTGGAGAGGCTGTGGGAGATGTAAAGCCTCTTGCAAACACTGGTGTGTGTACACAGAGAGTAGTTAAACGCTTCAATGTCTACAGCAATAGCTGGTAGAGACAGTTGTGGTGTGTTCCAATGGCTCTGCTTTATACTTGTGGTGTTGGCAGAATGTCTTATAGTGTTCTGAGATCCCACTGAATGTTATGCTGGAAGTGAAGAAAAACAATTTGGCTGCTGGGCTGTCATTTCAGCACCTTGAACATCTGCTAATGGGTCTGTAATGGCTGTAATGATATAATGTATGGTGTTAGCACCTCCTATAGCCAAACACCTCCCACCAGGGGATGATGAATTGGCAGTCATCAAAAACTACATTTCCTATTTGGAATTTTTCTGCAGGGAATGGCAGCGGAGTCTATTTTGTGTTTTCTTTTCAGATCTCCAACTACCTTTCTTTAACACTGCTCACTGCTTTCTTACATGGTTGCTTTTTCTCTCTGGTAGTTCTGTGTCTGTCATGAGGCAAGACAAAGCCTCCTGCATATCCGAAACAGCTTTCTCCAGGGAAGCAGCAGAATGTGCATGTGGACTGAAAGGGATATACTCTTTAATACTTAACAGAGGTGCTATATTTTCTTAAGTTTCAGTTGTTGGTCATTTATCTCTTGGAATAATTTCCTAGGCTAAAGGATTTCCCCTCAGGCACTGAAATGGTTTCATGTTTGGGGTGTTTTCATTTCCCTGCTGGGTTTGCCGCAACTCATGGTCCCCAGGAATGCCCTGAAATTTCAACTCTGAGTACGAGAATGCTTGCTGCTGCTTGTGTGTCTGGCAGGGGAGCTGCCACTGGCTGCTGGCATCCAGAGGGAAGGTGTCCTGCCCCTCACCCCAAGGCTGGCAGCTGTAGGAAAAGATGAGGCTGTTGGGCAGGTAGGAGAAGGCTTATTATGGGAAAAGTCAAAATAAGCAGCTGAGAGGCTACTTGATAATTGAACAGGGACTTTTCATTTCACTTGTGAAAACAATTTCCTCTCCTCGACCTCTAATTATTGGACCGTTACGATTGTCTGGTAAGTCAAGTGGCCTGATCGGGTTTAACATCAAACCACATGCTCAGCAAATAATGTCATACATTCCAGAGACACACTGCAATTGAAAGTGTGCCAACCTATCTTTGAGGCTAAGAAATATCTTAAAATGATTGTGTCTTGGGGGAGCAGAGAACTGATGAGACGTTTTCCTTCCTAGCCCTCTAAGCTTAGTGCTTTCAGGAAGTAATCTTGTGAGCTCTGATTCTGTCCAGGGTTTTGATCCACTTACAAATTTAATCTATCTTCACAGAACTTAAGTGCTCCATTGTCTGTTAGAAAATAATTAGAAGCTGCAAGCACATGCCTGCATACACAGAGTTCCTTGGAAGCCCCTGAGCTCATTGAGATGAAGACAGTTTGACTGATGGTGGTCAGCTGATACTGGGCCAGAAGCTAATAATAGAAGGCAGTGCTGCTTAGCTAGGTGGGAAAGTTAACTTGGGAGAAATTAAACTGAAGGGTCTGGGATTTACGCTTGGAAATAAATTTCCCGTTCTCATTTGTTTCTTGGTAAGAGAGCTTCAAAGGCAGTTGGTTTCTTTTATGGTTTTATAATTAAGATCTAGGGGGATTCTTGATTTATTTTTTTCTTTCTTAGGCTTAATGTAGTTCCCTGCCACCTCCAGTAGCAGTATTCATTGAGCAGGAGAGCATTTGCCAAGCAAACTATGAAGATAATAAGTGACAGTGACCTCCACTAGGCGTAAGGCAAACAAATCAAAGCTGCCTGTATGGAGAGGGCCAGTGCACCCATCCTTTATTCTGTCACATTTCTTTGTTTAATGAACTAAATGAGCTAAGCAGTCAGTCTTCACGTACTGTGAAAAGATGAACTTCTCCTAAATTGTGAGCCCCTCTTAGGTATTAAGACAAGTGCTGAAGACGTACCAAATTTAGGCTTGGTTCACGGGTTTCAAGGGGAAAAAATCATTTATCAAGGAGGGTTTTCTCTCGTGTTCTGCTGGAAACCAGGAGGGATCTGGTTAGCTCGAGTTACCTTGTTTCTCTAGTTGTGTCTGGAGGCCGCTGTGGAAAGTACAGCTGGGTGGTCAGGTCAGTAGGGTGAGAGAAGACCTCTTGTTTCCACTATTTCTAGTAGACATAGAAAGGTCCTAGGCTGGAGATACAGATATCTTTTCTCTGAGGGTCCTTCTAAGATCTTGCTCTTCATT